GTGTACTTTCCAATACCAGAGTTCATGCAGACTACAGATTCTGCCTGGCAGTATGCTATGGTGTCAACTCAGTTATTTGGCAGTATCTTCAGTGAAGCTGTTGATGAGGCTAACCAGGGTGAAATTGTAGTTTGGGATAAGCTGGCTTGAGGCAGCAAAATCACAATGCTGCAGCAGGTGCTGTAATCAGTAGCACGAACAGCTCCAATTGCAGCTGCAGTATTGCTTCAACAAGGCTAGGCCTCTGATGTTATTTCAGCTGAGCAAGTATGATGATTTGCAAAGGTCCACTCCTGAAACTGAAGATGCAAGGGTTTGGAGGAGGTGTTTCATTTGCAATTGCATGTTGTGAGGCTGTTAGATAGCCACACATTGCACCTATTACTAGTGAGCAGACAGGCTTCGATGGACTGGCCATGCAGCTGGGTCTCCAGACTGATGGAAGGATCTCAACCACAACCAGTAACAGGTTTGATGTTTGCCAACCTGTCCCCTTCCTCTGAGGGAACTTCAGGTGTGGTTCAAGTGCTATAAGCTTTCTTGAAGGAAAATGCTTCTTTGCTGAAATAGCCATGCAACCAAACATATTGGCCGGCAAACATACCTGTAGCCAAAGAGCTACATTTTTGCAATTAATGCACACAGTTGTAAAACGTATCAGGCAAACAATGGACAGATAATAGGGAGGAAAGGGTGGAACTCTGCAATGAATAAAACATGACTAGTTTAGGACATTTACATTGGTTTCCAGAAGAAGGGGTCGTCTTATGTTTGTTCCCCAAAACTCAATTAAGTTTGAAGCAAAATGGCCAACAGAACTGCCTCCAGAAAAGAGGGTGGATTTGGAGCATGCACTGTTTACAGGATCCTGAGAGAGGATATATAATATGATGATGTTTTCCAAAGTGTTATTGTCACTGCCCTCCTGTTTTAATTATTGCTATTGTTCCATTCTTGCAAGGATTGCTGCTTCTGTGATGGAATTCCCCTTTCTCTCCCTCCAGTTTGTGCCCTCCAAATCTGTCCTGGGGTTTCCCTGACTCTACAGAGCAGGTTTGGGGAGAGTGCAGAGAGGAGGATGGTTAGTTCAGTTGCAGAAGTCTTGCCTTTGTTGGCTATGGAACCCTAGAATTTTATCATTTTGCTTTGCTATATTGTAATCAATCCATTAATCAAAAGCATTTCCAGATGTCTAATTTTAGTAAGTCCCTAAATGGTACGCAAAAATATGCTAGTTTATGTAGTTGTTGTTGTTTAGTTGTGTCCGACTCTTTGTGACCCCCTGGACCAGAGCACGCCAGGCACTCCTGTCTTCCACTGCCTCCCGCAGTTTGGTCAAACTCATGTTGGTAGCTTCGAGAACACTGTCCAACCATCTCATCCTCTTCTCCTTGTGCCCTCCATCTTTCCCAACATCAGGGTCTTTTCCAGGGTGTCTTCTCTTCTCATGAGGTGGCCAAAGTCTTGGAGCCTCAGCTTCAGGATCTGTCCTTCCAGTGAGCACTCAGGGCTGATTTCCTTAAGAATGAATGGATAGGTTTGATCTTCTTGCAGTCCATGGGACTCTCCAGAGTCTCCCCCAGCACCATAATTCAAAAGCAGTACGTAGTATGTAGTACTTGATTGCAATATGCTTTGGTTATTATTCTATTAGAAAAGTTGGGGGTTGGACTAATGATCCTCAGGAGTCCCTTCCATCTCTACAGTTCTATATATTAGCTAAACTACATAGCACTGTCTTATATGGAAGCCCATATAATAGCTGCCACTTTCTAGAACCTGTCAGACGCAGCTGCTGTGATGAGTGGGTCTGAACTGGACAGTCTGTAACAGGGAATAGTAAAGTTCTGTGTTGTTCAGACCAGGGAGCAAGCTTCACAAATAGATTTTTAGGGGTTAAGCAGTGCCCTGTGCCCTGTAGCTCTTGAGAACCTTCATTGGTAAGTCTGGCTGTTATTCTGGTAGGTCTCTTCTCAGACCAGAGAGCTTGGTGGTGGAACACAGGATAAATCCCTGCATGGAGCACCTTGGATTGAGGATCTGCTAAGCTTGCTCGAACCCTGACACAATCTGGAAATAAAAACCATGTTGGTGGATGTCTTCCTTCATCTCTGAGGCTTTGAAGGAACTTCAAAATGAACAAGAAAATCTGAAAACATTTTGCCTGCCCTGTGCATGCTTGCAGTCTCCATTCAATGAAAGCTCATCATGAGCATTTTAAAACAGAACCTTTTTCTTTTCAGCTTTAATAGCTATGGAAATACCGGTTTAGAAGAAGAAAGCAGAATTCCTCTGATGCAGTGCCGAGGCTTTAATAACACTCTCTGGCTTGGGCAAATGATCTTGACTTTCTGTTTCCTGACGCTGATCTGTTGCCCCTAAGGAAAGCTTATAAAATAACAGGATGGAGAAGAAGAAAACCCCAACCCCAGCCTTTTCAATAAGCAAAAAGGGATTTTGCTGATTTGGAATGAGAGCCATAAAGGGGGAACGATAGATCAATAGCTCCATGTAGATCTTTATTGTTCTCAGAGATGAAAAGCCTGCATTTTTTATTGTTATTGTTATTAAAGAATAGAGCAATGCTAGGATTGGTGGAGGAGGAGTTGCTGCTGCTTACAGCATAAACATTATAGGCTCTATGCTTGGAAATTTGAAGGAAGAGATACCGGTACTTGCAATTCTTGTTTGAAACCCCCCCACCAATGCTAAAGAGGGATCTGTATGACAAATCAGTCTTTGGCTGTGGTTGAGAGAGCTTCATCCAGCAGATGGGAGATCACATTGCCACCAAAGACAGGGAATCCAAAGTTATACTTTTGTGTCAAAAGGTTGGAGAGGGGGGGCAAAGACTCTGATTTGGCATACACAGATTGCAGAACACCTCTTAGGTTTTGCTCTGAGAAGGCATGCAAAATTGTTGCTATTATTATCATTGGATTTCTAGCCTGCTTTTTAGAGGGGAAGTAAGGTAAAGGGACGCGGGTGGCACTGTAGGTTAAACCACAGAGCCTAGGACTTGCCGATCAGAAGGTCGGCGGTTCGAATCCCCGTGACGGGGTGAGCTCCCATTGCTCAGTCCCTGCTCCTGCCAACGAAAGCACGTCAAAGTCCAAGTAGATAAATAGGTACCGCTCCGGCGAGAAGGTAAACGGCGTTTCCGTGCGCTGCTCTGGTTCGCCAGAAGCAGCTTAGTCATGCTGGCCACATGACCTGGAAGCTGTACGCTGGCTCCCATGGCCAGTAAAGCGACATGAGCGCCACAACCCCAGAGTCGTGCGCGACTGGACCTAACAGTCGGGGTCTCAGTCACATTGGGGAACTCAGGATTAAATGCTAAATCACACAAGTGTGCATGCAGATGTGGGTGGCAAATGGGGAGGGAGGGGGAGAGAGAAAGGGAGGTGTATGAAAGACAGACATTTTTGACTCTGGAACCACCCACCACCAGCTTCAGTCCAACCAAGCTACCAAGATGTGGTCCTCAACAGTTCTCAGAATTTCTCAGACATGGTTCTCTAACTGCTGGATTACAACTCCCATCATCCCTCACGGCTGGTTCCGTGAGCTATGGATGATGGGAGTTGTAGGCCAGCAACAGCTGGGGACCCAAGTTTGAGAAATACCGAAAGGGACTGCGGCCCTTGGCAGAAGAAGGGTTCCCCATCCCTGGCCTAGACTAAGGGTGTCAGGAAGTGACAACAAAAGGGAAAGTTATTAATATGCAACAGGCTACAGTGGTGTGTAGGGATTTGGGTTTTTGAGCAGAGGTAGAAGTACCCAGTTCAAATCTTCCCTCTGCTGTGAACTCACTAGCTGCCCCCCTCCCCCTGTCTCAGCCTCAAATGCTTATCTGCAAAACAAAGGAGTTCCTCTTTCAGAATCCAATCCAAGATTCCCCCCCCCTTATTTTAAGACTAGTACTCTCTGAGGAGAGGAACCTGTGTGTGTGTTACAGGTAAGAATTTGCATGGCAGAATGCTGCCCCCCAAAAGGAAAAAAAGAATTCATTCCACAAAGAAAATTCAGCACCAGCCATCCCTATCTCATCATCTCCATGACAGGCTTGTTTTCTATGTGTAGAGATTTTAATAGAATCATACAATTGTAGAGTTGGAAGGGACCCTGAGGAACATCTAGTCCAACCCCCTGAAATGCAGGGATATTCAGCCATACAAAGATTGAACCTGCAACCTTGCCATTATGAGCACCACACGCTCGCCAACTGAGCTGATGATTATTGCTGATGTTAAGAACATTAAAAGAATGTGAGTCTGCACCAGCAGTTTAAAGTGATACAGCCTGAACAAATCACCTGATTGAGGTATAACCCGACAATAGTGTAATGAAGGTTGTTGTTGATTGGCTTAAATTCGTGCCCATCTCCTCTTCTCTTGTCTTCCATCACCACTAGATCTTATAGGTAAGATACACACAGAGAGAGACACAGCACCTCTAGAACTGTGTGCTTCTGTAGTGTCTAAAATATGACACTTGACAAGCCACTGGTGCAGCAATAAAACTGCTAGCACATTGGCAAAGCTGAGCAGGGTGCAGTCTGGTTTCAAACAGAATGGGGACCCCGTTAGTGCCAGGTTAAACCCCGTTGAGGCCCCTAGGCAGTCACACTCTCGAGGTGGGGGTGAGGCAGGGCTCGCAAATTATCTCCTAATATGTTTTTGATTTTACCAACCAACCATTTTAATAAAGCAATTTTATTTCAAGATCAGTTCAATTTTATTTTGATCCGTTGTCACAGGGCCCCGAAAAGGCTTGGGGCCCATAGGCCTACTCTGCCTATTTGGTAATCCGGCACGCAACCCTGTGTTGAGATTGCTGTGTTGCAGGTCCCTTCCACCTCGATGCTGCTATGAAAAGAAAGTAAGTTAAGAGGGCTGCTTCAGGCAGCGGTGCTGCCCCTCCCAGAGCTCTAGCCTCCTCTGAGAGGCCTGGGGAAGCGAGCAACTCCCGCCTGGCGCGCAATGCGTTAAGCGCAGAGGGAGGGGCGCTGCTTGCGTCGGGGAGCGCGCAGCCTTCCCTCCCTCTGCAGACCCATTGAGACACACAAGAAAGGAGAGCGAGCGAGGCAGCACCATGACCGAGACGACCAAGACTCACGTTATCCTCCTGGCCTGCGGCAGCTTCAACCCCATCACCAAAGGGCACATTCAGATGTTTGGTGAGTCCTTCCTCTGCGCGCCCTCGCCAGGGCTCCGAGCTCTCTCTGCTGGCGGGGCTCCTGCCTTCCTTTCTTCCAGGGTGGCGTTGCTTGATTTGCTGGCTCTGGTCCAGGCGTGGGGTGGAGGATGCTGGCCGGACCTCTTGCCGGGCTTGGCAGATCTGGAGGAGGAGGAGGAGAGGTTTTCTTGCTAGGACCAAACTGCTGCAGAGCCGGGCAGGAGGGCTGTTTTGCGCCCTGGGGCCATCCCAGGGACGGCCGAGGCAAGGGAGGGGCAGCGGCTCTTCTGGACCCAAGGGAGGGGGGGGCGCAGGAAAGCTTAGGGGCTTCTTGGCTTGCGTGCGTGGGAAACAGGATAGGGAGCGTTTAGTAGCGGCGTCAGAAGGGAGACAATGTGGGGCTCTTTAGACCGGGAGTGCCAGAGCTCCCCGAGGAAGGGGCGTGAGAGAGGCGATGTATTGGCGGTTGGGTTCTTCTGGAGGAGGTTTTCTGGGGGTTGGAGCAGCCGGGAGCGGAGGTGGGGGGGGGGAGCAGGCTTGGGGGGAGGAGGAGGGTGGGGTGTGTGCGGCGGCGCGGGTGGGGGAAGATGAGATGATGGCTGATGGATATGCAGGAGGATGGATGGATGAATGAGAGGTCTGCCTGGTAGCTAAGGGAGGGCGGTTGGTGTCAGCAAAAGGGAAGGCGTTTGCAGATGGGGAAGCTCTTCTCCTTGGGAAATGTCAGCCTAGTCACCTGCCACTGAATCAGTGAATGAAGAGCCCGGGATATGAGATCTCCAGCTTCCTCCTCCTGATCTGGTTACCTCTCTTAGTGGGGTAGCACCTTTATTAGCCACTGTACTGGCAGAGAATGCCACCCAGTACAATCATACAGAGAGCCAGATTTGCCATGGGATGTACATTCTGCAGGCAAGAGCTGAACGCTGAAAAGCTTACTGGAGTGACAATGTGTGTTTGTAAACATGTACTTGTTGCAGTCAGGCTTTACATGCTTAGAGATATACTTCACATCTTTGGCATACCCACAGAACAGCCCCATACTGTGTGAAATGGCCCTGCCCCCTCTTGTATATGTGCACATTGAATTAAACTGGAGTATGCAAACTAGGAGGAGATACGATGCGTTTTTGTTGGGGGAGACTATCTGATATCTTGGTTCACAACCTCAAGAGGGAGTTTCATGCCAATGGCTACCTCTAGTCTCAGGCTGGAGTGTCAGCTGTTGGTTGCTGTATCGACAGTGGCATGATGTTGCATGCGTGTTTGTATGTATGTGTCAATCCTGTGTATACACAATGGCTGCTTCAGTTTTGGAGGCCATACTAAAGAGAATTAAAGGATGATAATGAGGGTGTGGGTGTGGTGTTGCCTCCCCTCTTTTAAAAAGCATTTGTGTAGATATGGTGTGCTGAATCTAATCAGTTATAGCTATTTTGCATATAGAACCAACCAGGGTCAGTGAGTGTCATCTTGCATGTGTGTCTTTGAGGTCTGTATAAAAGAAGAGGCTTTTTAAAATGGGGATTGTATGGATGGGCAGGAAGGTGAAGAGCTGTTTGCTGTCCATGACTGTAAGTGCTGAAATTACTTCACAGTTGAGAACGGGAAACACCAGCCTTTTTTCCATCACTAGAAGTCTAGAGAGATTGTTGTTAAGAGATTGACCGGCCTTGGAAATACTGGATGATATTGATGATAAGGTGCACCTGCTTGGCACAAGCTAAGCAGCTGACTCATTGAGAAATTAGTGAGGTCAAAGTGGGAATTGCGATAACAACTCATTTCTCAGAAAAAACGTGTGCCTATAATCACAACAGAAACACACAGAGTGGTGGTAAAATTCACCCTATTCTCATTTGGTTTGTAAATACAGCTCAAGTCTCAAAAAAGCTGCCTATGCGATGAAAATTCACTAGACTCTTTCAATGCAGCCAGAGGAGAAGACTTTCCACCAATTCACACCAGAAGGGGAAAATGCACAGAATTATAAATAATGCACATGTTGTGCATGTTAAAAATTGATTTGTGCCTGCTCTGAAGACCACTCTTCTCCTTTCTTTTCAAGAGAAGGCCTGGTCATGTGTTTACAACACTGGGAACATTCTGTGATCCACCCCCCCAAAAAAATCAATCAGAGTTTTGGCGAAGGTGAGGTCAGGGTTGTATTTAAGACACAGCCCAACATTTAAAGCAGCTTCAAGAAGAGCCACTGCTCAGAGATAGGAGGATTTTGGCTTTGTACATCAGCATATGCTAATACTGTTATGCAGATGAAATAAATCTGAATGAATGCAATAATACGTTCCCTGATTGTAAAATGGCGCATAATGAGAACCAGGAAGTCATTCCCCCCCTGCCAGGTGCCTGCTGGCTTACAGATGCTCTTATTTCCATTTAATATGAGCTCTCACAAAGCTTCCCACATCTGCATAGGTTCCCTTTAAGAGCACATGGCACTGCTGTGAAATGCCAGGACCTGCGTCCTAGGAAGTGAAGGAACATCCTGTCCGCGTAGCCCTTTCATTTCCCCTGTGTCAGCAAAGTGGATGAGAGGCCCAGGCCAGATCTCTTGCACAGAGGCCTGCATTGCCCACCTGCTCATTCCCAGCAGAGTCCTGATCTGTCTTCAAAGGCAGTTCCTGCAGACTTAGACCCAGGCTGAGGGATGCTGGGTTATCTTACTGAGATAAGCCAGGGAAGACTCCCAAATAATTCAGGCCTAGGCAAGATCTGAAGACCAGACAGGGATGGAACGGAGAGATGGCATATCGTAATGTCTGAGATGCAACTAGGCAATTCCTCAGTTCATATATATATATATATATATATATATATAATCCCACATGGTTTTCCTACTTGCCTTTTTATATCTCAGGAGCCAATTTTACCTCTTCCACCCTTTCCTAGCTCAAGGTTTGGGAATGCCTAATTCTCCAGCAAGCTTGAGGTTCTTTTTAAAAGCCATATAGTGAATAACATCTGTCATTAAAGATTACTTTATTATATTTGTATACCACCCGTCATCTGAAGATCCAAGACAACAGAAAGCCATTTTAAGCTGGAAGCTGATTGTAACCCATGATATTGTGGCTTTTGGGGTGCTGAAGTGGGGAGAGAGAACAACTGTGAACTACGAGCTTGTAAAGTAAAATGTGGGAAATAGACCCTTGTCTCTCTTCTTGTCCTCTTTTTGATTTGTGTATGTTGCAGGGAAGCAGCCAGGAGGCACCCACTTGTGCTGAACTTCACAATCCCCATCTTCCCATGCAGCTATTCCCTCGCTCTTAGCTTGTCTCCTTTTGTTGTTTCCACTCTTGTGAAAATGTACCCTTTGTAGGATCCTTAGGGCAGGTGGGGGGAACCTTTGGCTCTCCATATGGTGCTGAACTACAATTTTCATCATCCCACGCTTGCCAGGGCTGATGGGAGTTGTAGTTCAGCAACACCTGGTGGGTCAAAGGTTCCCTGCACTATATAAGTAATACCATTGGCATAACTAACAATAGAGGGGGAAATGTCTGCATGTGGAGGATAGTTACATTGACTTACCATGCAGGATTACACACAATTTACAATTAATATAGGGGCAGATCCAATGGAAGTGATGGTATTCCAGCTGAACTATTTAAAATTTTAAAAGATGATGCTGTTAAGGTGCTACACTCAATATGCCAGCAAATTTGGAAAACTCAGCAGTGGCCAGAAGATTGGAGAAGATCAGTCTACATCCCAGTCCCAAAGAAGGGTAGTGCCAAAGAATGCTCCAACTACCGCACAATTGCACTCATTTCACACGCTAGCAAGGTTATGCTTAAAATTCTACAAGGAAGGCTTAAGCAGTATGTGGATCGAGAACTCCCAGAAGTGCAAGCTGGATTTAGAAGAGGCAGAGGAACCAGAGACCAAATTGCAAACATGCGCTGGATTATGGAGAAAGCTAGAGAGTTCCAGAAAGACATCTACTTCTGCTTCATTGACTATGCAAAAGCCTTTGACTGTGTCGACCACAGCAAACTATGGCAAGTTCTTAAAGAAATGGGAGTGCCTGATCACCTCATCTGTCTCCTGAGAAATCTCTATGTGGGACAAGAAGCTACAGTTAGAACTGGATATGGAACAACTGATTGGTTCAAAATTGGGAAAGGAGTACGACAAGGCTGTATTTTGTCTCCCTGCTTATTTAATTTATATGCAGAATACATCATGCGAAAGGCTGGGCTGGATGGATCCCAAGCTGGAATTAAGATTGCCGGAAGAAATATCAACAATCTCAGATATGCAGATGACACAACCTTGATGGCAGAAAGTGAGGAGGAATTAAAGAACCTTTTAATGAGGGTGAAAGAGGAGAGCGCAAAATATGGTCTGAAGCTCAACATCAAAAAAACGAAGATCATGGCCACTGGTCCCATCACCTCCTGGCAAATAGAAGGGGAAGAAATGGAGGCAGTGAGAGATTTTACTTTCTTGGGCTCCATGATCACTGCAGATGGTGACAGCAGCCACGAAATTAAAAGACGCCTCCTTCTTGGGAGAAGGGCAATGACAGGCCTAGACAGCATCTTGAGAAGTAGAGACGTCACCTTGCCAACAAAGGTCCGTATAGTTAAAGCCATGGTTTTCCCAGTAGTGATGTATGGAAGTGAGAGCTGGACCATCAAGAAGGCTGATCGCCGAAGAATTGATGCTTTTGAATTATGGTGCTGGAGAAGACTCTTGAGAGTCCCATGGACTGCAAGAAGATCTAAACGCATTCATTCTTTAAGGAAATCACCCTGAGTGCGTTCACTGGAGGCAGATCGTGAAGCCTGAGGCTCCATCTTTGGCCACCTCCATGAGAAGTAAAAGACTCCCTGGAGAAAGACACGATGCTGGGAAAGATGGAGGGCACAGGAGAGAGGGGCGACAGAGGACGAGATGGTTGATAGTGTTTTCGAGGTTTACCAGCATGAGTCGTGAACCAAACTGCGGGAAGTAGTGGAGGACAGAGGGTTGCTG